GACCTGAGCCAGGCGCAATTTCAGCCAAAAAGCTTTATTCCACCAACGTGGAGGGGAGACTGAGTCGGATCAGTTCCCCCGAACAAAGGAAAGCGGGGGTTTATAAGCCTTTGAGGGTTCTGGCAGAGTAAAGGGCAATTTCAAAATCAGTGGTATGCAAGCTGACACAGCCCTTGTAGTCTGCTAAACCTGGTCAGTTAGGACATAGGCTTCTAATTAGTGTTGCTACTATGTCAGTGCAAAGCGCTCTAGCCCAAAGCCGGCTACCATAGCCCACAAGACATTCCTTTGATGATAATGGTCATGTTTACCCCTTCCCAGGAGAGGAATTTTGCTGCTCAGTTCCCAGAGCAGAAAAGGGAAAGGGCAGGGGGAGTAGGAGGGAAAGTTGCTTAACCTGGCTGTGCTGATGTTAAGCTAACCATGAGGCCTAATGACATTCAGGGAAAGGTGGTAGATGTTGGGTATCTGAATTTTGGGGAAGTATGTCAGCTTTTCAGACAAATGGGAAAAATGGCCAGGATATGAGGATGGGGAGATGGATTAGAAATTCTTTGAAGACTGCTAATGAAATGATGGGTCCAGGCAATGGTTGTCCATGGATGGTCAAACCATCAGGAAAAAAATCACATGGGAAATTTACAAAGGCAGGACCATGCTGATGGCATCTGAACCTCAGGATCAGTCTTAGTTATCAGTAAAAGGGGGAGACAGCAAGACATCTATCCTCCTGATGGAAGTTTCCAGCACCACCCATGAAGAACTGAAACCAAGAATATCAATCCTGAATCTGGGAATAGAGGAATGAGTTACATGACAAAAGGGGATGCCATCTGCTAATTACTAGGAGAAGCTCTCCGGGGAAAACAACCTGGTTTCTTCAACTAATGAATTATCAAAAAAAAGAAAAGAGAGAGAGAGAGAGAGAAAGAGGAAACCTATGTATTAAACAACACTTCAGAGATTCATTAACTATTAAAAAAAAAAATGAAGGACTGGCCAGTTAGCTCAGTTGGTTAGAGTGGGGTGTTGATAACACCAAGGTCAAGGGTTCAGATGCCCGTACCAGCCACCAAAAAAAAAAAGAAAAAAAACCAACTGATAACCAATCCACTTTTTTTTTATTGTTCTGTTTCTTTATTCTCACCTTACAAAAGCCAACTCTTGTCATGCCCAACTCATTTTATGTTATGAAGAAGAAAAGGAAAAAATGCTGAGACAGATGGGGAACTTTTACTCTAATTGATACTTTTGATAAGTATGATAATGGTATTGTGGTTAAGTTTGGTTAATTTTTTTAAAAAATATTTTGCTATCTTTCAGCAATAAAAAGTGGAGTATTTACAGATGAAATGATTTGATGTCTCAGATTTGCTTCAAAATACCCAGAAAATAATTGATTCAGCCAAGAATGGGTGCTGGAAGAATGAAAGTCTGATGAATAACAGGATATTTACAGAGTCTCAAAGGACCTCCCCATAAGATACCTAATAATTACAAAAGGGCAAGTAGTAACAGTGGAGAAACATGGCAGATACTGCCTTAGCCACCTGATCTAAATTAATATTGCCAATGATGGGAATAATTGATGGCAATTACCTCCTGATTGGATGCACCGAGAAGGATACAAAGTCATTTTTGCCAAAAATATATAGCCTAAATCTAATCGTGAAGAAGATTTGGACAATCCCAGTTGAAAGACATTCTACCTAATAACTGACCTATATATTTTTAAAATGTCAAGGTCACAAAGGACAAGAAAGGCTCAGAAACTGTTCCAACGGAAAAGGATTTAAAAAACAGCTGGATGCAAGTAATCTGGGATTTTTTTCTGCTGTAGATGTCAGTTGTGGGACAGTTGGTGAAATCTGATTAAGGTTTGTTGATTTCCTGCTTTTGATCATTTTACTGAGGTTATGTAAGAGAATGTCTTGTTCTTAGAAAACTCAGTGAAGTATTTAGATGATGAATGGATGGACAGAGAGAGAGAGAGATTTTTTTTAAAAATATTTTAAAAATACAGATAGATAGAAGGCTGGACTGCTGATAAGTGAATATCCATCCTTGTCTCGGACCAATTTCCTCTGAAGCCCTTTGATATAAGTCACTTATTTAAGTCACTAATATCTTGCATTTATTGTCATTTGCAGCTGAGTCTAATCTTGATCTCTTTATTGAAAGAAATATTCCAAAAATCATGAAGCAATATGTGGAAGTGATGTCATTCCTAATAATAATGCATTTATTGTCATTTGCAGCTGAGTCTAATCTTGATCTCTTTATTGAAAGAAATATTCCAATAATCATGAAGCAATATGTGGAAGTGATGTCATTCCTAATAATAACAGTGGTAGGACTTATTCATTTTTGTTGAGATAGTAGCATAATGCTAGAAGAGTTCAGCTGCTCAGAGGCTGTAGAAACCAAAGGTGTGGAATCTAGGATTGTGCTGTCCAATACTGTAGTCAATGGCCACAAACGGCTATTTAAATTTAAATTAATTAAAATTAAATAAAATGTAAAATTCATTTCCGGCCTTACACTAGCCACATTTCAAGTGCTAAGGATTATGGAGTCTAGACACTTCTCAGAATATGGTCTGAGGACCGTGCATTTTTTAATTACTGAGGGTGCTTGGTGAAAAACGTACATTCCTGGGGTCACTCCAGACCTATTTAGTCAGAATCTTTGCAGAGCTTGAGAATCTGCTTTTGAAAAGGTTCTTCCAGGTGATTCTGATGCTCCCTGATACTCAACAGCCTCCTTAGGGGAAAAGGAGGTGAGAGTCATCTCATTTTTCTTGTAGATGGGTCCATTCCATTGTAGGCTCTGAGATTTGGGAGATATCAGTAAATTGGATCTTCAATTTGGGATCCTCAATTGAGATCTTGAGGATCAGATGTGGCTGCAGTCTTCAAGGACTGCCTGGATTCAAACCCCAACCCCTCCACCCAGTATTACTTGACCTTGGGTGGGTCACTTGACCTCTCATGCCTCAGTTTCCTTACCCGTCAAAGAGCCTGTAACAGTGCCTACTCTATAGGGTCATTACGAGGATTCCATGAGTTCATAGGTATAAAATCTTTCAAACAGTGCCTGGCACACGTTTTTGCTACTATTATAATAAGTCATATTTCCGAAGGGCTATTTAATAAACACAGGGTATGACTTGTTCGAGAAATTTTCTCTGGTCTTGCCGTATAAAATATTGCCTGCACCCCAAAACTATCACTTCCCCTGTTTTATTTTCTTCCTAGTACTTAACACTCACTGAAATAAACATCATTTGCTTCTGCTTTCATTCATCCCACAAACATCTATTGAGCACCTACTGTGTGTGAGCGTTCCTGGCAGAGGAAACAGCAGGTGCAAAGGCCCTGGGGTAGGAACATGCCAAATACTGTAAGATGCTAGAGACACATTGGTGAATAAGACAGCTGCAGTCTTATCTTCAGGGTGCTCACATTTTAATGGGGGGAGACAGGTAAATGTATACATAATATATTGCTAGGTGATAAGCAGGCTAGAGAGGGAAGGGGTGGTCAGGGAGGTGCTCTCTGAGAAGCGCATTTGAGCAGAGGCCTAAAAGAGGAGATGGAGGAAGCCTATGGGTTATTTGGGGAAATTTTACAAACTCTGGCCTGGCCTGTGTTTCTGCCCCACTCCACCCCCACCGCCCCACCCACCCAATCCCAGATATGCCTCAGGTTTCCAAACAGAGGTTGCCTCTCAATTGCTGGAGGAGGGAAATTCCGATGGGGGTGAAAGGCCATTGGCCTCTTGTATGCCGTCTGCTTTCTCTCCCACCAGCTGTTAGAGTGTTTGAGCTGGTGTTGCTGGGTGGGGCTCCAGCTTCAGGGCCTGGGTTCCCCCATTAAAGCTCCAGACACGTCTTCAAAGTAGCTGCTGGGCCCTCTGCCTCCAGGCCAAGGAGGAGAGTGTCATCCGGGAGAACAGCTAGGGATCCACACCCCCCAGCTGCATCCCATCTGGTCTTCTCCTGGTTCTGGGTGAGGCTTGTGACCCCTGCTTCTGGTGCAAAGAGGGAGATGAGGGACCTCTGTCTAGTCCAGTTCTGGGTTCAAATCCAGACAGGCACTGCCCCAACTAGTGCTGTGTGACCCTGAGCAGCTCGCTTAACTTCTCTGAACCCACATCTCCATAAGAGGTTTTTTTTAAAAAAGATGACCCGTAAGGGGATCTTAACCTTTGACTTGGTGTTGTCAGCACCACACTCTCCCAGGTGAGCTAACCAGCCATCCCTATATGGGATCCAAACCCGTGGCCTTGGTGTTATCAGCACCGCACTCTCCCGAGTGAGCCACGGGCCGGCCCTCATAAGAGTTTTTAAAAACTCCCACCTCCTGAGGAATCTTTTTTTTTTTTTTAGAAGTTTCTTTTTTTTTTTCCAGGCATTTGATGTCTGCTTTTTATTTTACTTCATTTTATTTATTTAGGTTATTTATTTATTTATTTTGGCAGCTGGCCAGTGCACAAATCTGAACCCTTGACCTTGGTGTTATCAACACTGCACTCTAACTGAGGTCTTCATGCCTGGAAAGTGCTTGATTGTCAGCCATTATTTGGGGGAATACTCAGCCCCAGAGGGGTATGTGGCCTGCTGTATCTCCCAAGACCACCTCTCCAGCTCCCTGGGAGCACATTTGAAGTGTACTTGGGATGAACTTGGAAGGTACTTGGGATGGAGAAGGAGCCCCCCACCACCAACCCGGCTTTCTCTCTGAAGGAAAGCAGGGAGCCCTAGGACTCATCAATCACCAGGAGGGGCCAGACAGCTGCCCCAGGGGCAAGGTCAGGGTTGATCCTTATTTTCTCAAAAGCCCCTGCAGTCCTGCTCTGGCAGGGCACAGGATGGGAGGGCTGGCAAAGGATGAACTGCCTGGACAGCAGCCACCCTCCCCTGCCCCATCTGGCCCAGCTATGGGGAGCTGATGGGGGAACTACTGCCTTAAGCCTAAAAAGACACAATGACCACCAGAAAGAGAAATTGAACCGTTTATTAGCCTAGGTCTGAGGGGTATCTGGGGAGCTATATGAGGGGAGACAAGCCCCTGATTGGCTCCTAGCCCCCCAAAGACCCCCTCCCCCAGTCTTTGCATTTACAAGAAATTACTTTGAGGCATGAAGTTTCCCTCCCCAAGGTGAGCTGCAGCCCAGTTCTCAAGTGGGGAGATGAACCCTTTGGCAGCTTCAACATAGACAGGAGGAGACAGAACAGCATCCATTCTGGGGGAAACGTGATGGTGAGCAGGGGGTCACAGACATCCCATTTGCACACACACATACACACACACACACATAGACACACATAAATATATGTTTGTACCGCAACATCCCTTCCATCTATCCACAGGATTTAGCAAAGTCCTCTGGGGCAGGTGAGGAGAGGGCATCCCCTGAAAATGTCCTTGGTCACCCCACCCCCATGCCCCATTCAATATAGGAGGCACAGCAGGCTCAAGGCTGCCCTGCCTTAGGAGACTTGGTACCTTGGCTGGGGCTGAAGGTGTGGAAACGGGAATGGCTTGAGAGTGGTTTTTTTTGTGGGGTCCTGTGCAAACAGAGCTCCCCCAGAAGTTTCTTAAGTTCCACCTGCCCCACTGAGAGGCCCAAAGCCCCCCTCAGCCCCTTGAACCAGTTTTTCCAGCCCCTGGTGATTCCCCTGTGCCCAAATAGTGCAATTGACCAATGAGGTCTGAGAATGGGGATTGGGGCTCATCCCCCCCCACCCCCACTTCCAACCCTGTGGTTTCCCATGGACTGAGAGGAAAGGGAAGACATAATCAAAGTGGCAGCTGATGAAATTTGGGGAAGCTGTAGATTTGGGCCTGTGAGGGCGAGGGAGGAAGCCTCCAGCCCCTCAGACAGTGGGTCCAAATAAGTGACCTGAGGTTGCCCAGAGAAGGTGGCAGGAGGGATAAATTCAGGGAGGGGAGTTTGGTGCAGGGTGGAGGGTCGGACAGGAAGACGTTGAAATCCTCTGCACCGTGGTGGTAAACTGCTCCTGCCCTGAGCTCCTTAAGTGCCCACCCACTGTCACCCTGGCCCTTCACAGGTCCCTCAGGCCTTCCCATGATCTAGTTCTAAAGGAGTCACACTGGGCACTGCACTGGCCTCCAGGATCCCACTGCAGTGCTGTCATCTGACTGGTCAGTGCCTCAGCTGACCCTCCCAGGTGTGAAATGTTTTCAATATCACCCAGGTCTGTGGGGTGGAGGCATCTTGCTTGGCCTGCTTGGCAGCCCCTCGTCTCTGCTTGAGGTCACCCGGTGCCTCTCCACATAGCCCTCTCCTGTAGCCTGGGTCCCATTGCCCATCAGACCACTGTGTTGCCCTCCAGAAACGTGGGCGATGTGGGCATGTGCATGCCCCTCTCCAGCGAGCTGGAGCTGCGGAGGGGCAGGAGATGGTGGCCTGGGGTCCCACCCCGCCGTCCTTGCACCCCTGCCGCCCGCCGCCAGCACTGCAGGGGCCTTAGCACCTCCCGCCGCAGGTCTCGGCTGCGCCACGTGTAGATGACAGGGTTGAGCAGCGAGTTGAGGGTGGCAAAGGCAAAGAAATAATGGGCTTTGTAGAGGACAGGGCAGGACCGGATGGGACAGGCGTAGTCCAGGAGGAGGATGCTAAAGGCGGGCAGCCAGCAGACGATGAAGACACCCAACACGATGGTGACTGTCTTGAGCAGAGCCAGTGTCTGTGGGCCGGCCACATCAGCATGGCTTGAGCGGACCACGCAGTAAATGCGGACATACAGAGCTACGATGGCCAACAAGATGACAGAGAAGATAGTCACCACGCAGAGCACATAGTGCTTGGCATAGAGTGGCAGAGCGGTGGAGCATGCCTCGAGGTGGCCCAGGCAGTTCCAACCAAGGATGGGCAGGCCACCCAGAACCAGCGAGATGAGCCATGAGGCCCCAATGAGCAGCAGCATGCGGCAGCTCTTGTCACTGCCGTAGAGCTTGACCTTGGCAATGGCCACGTGCCGCTCAATGGCGATAGCCAGGAGGCTGAAGACGGAGGCAGAGAGCGTGATAAAGGCAGAGCCCTCACGGGCGAACCACTGCACAGGTGTCAGCCCCAGTGTGACAGGGCCCGACAGCAAGGTATTGGCTACAAAGGCCACACCTGCTAGTAGATCCGAGGCGGCCAGGTTGCCCAGGAACAGGTACATGGCCGAGTGGAATTTGCTGTTGCGGGCCACCGCGATGAGCACCAGCAGGTTTTCCACCACAATGGCGCAGCAAATGATGATGATTAAGGCCGAGGCCACCTGGCGGGAGGACGTCTCCTGTGTGTCCAGCGTCTCCTTGGTGTAATTGTAGTGTTCCCGGACCTTGCTGGCATTCAGGTACTCCGAGTACAGGTTGCCCATGGTGGGGCTCATTGGCCGGCCGGGGCCATGGGGCTGTCAGAACTGCAGAGAAAAGAGACAGACAGACAGAGAACAGGTCAAAGCCATGGCTGCTGCCTGGGTTCTGACCTTGGATGACTGAAGTTCAAGTTCTAGCTCCATCACTCCTTGCCGAATGGCCACATGAAGTCAGAATTATCAGCATCCCCAATTTACAGAAACCCAGAGAGGTCAATTCACTTTCCCAAAGTCTCAAAGCTAGCAAGTAGCAGAGCCAGGGAGACTGGCTCCTCCCTAACCCCAGGCTCTTTCAAAGGTTAACAGAAGCTTCCCCAAACAGCATGAAGATACAACGTGGACTTCCAGAAACCTTGCCCACCTACCCAGAGAGAAAGCCTTGGGGAGGGCCTGGAGGGATGATCTCTTTTCTCAAATACGTGGGAGCCTCGGGCCTCATGCCGTCTTGCTGACCTGGGTCAGCGAGATTCTCCCCGCTGATAGCACCCTCCCATGCTCATTACCACCCACTGCCCAGGATTTCAGGCTGGGTCTGAGCCTTGAGGCCATGGGTACTCCCAAGATAAGGTCTTGGGGAGACACCAGGGTGGCCCTGAAGTCTGAGCATCCTAAGGTCACACCATCTTTAAGGACATAAACCCTGAAGGCAATCCAGAGTTCATTTCCATTCCAACTCTGATGTGCTGGGCAAGTCCCTTAACACTCAGTCTCTTAGCCTCAACATCCTCATCTGTGCAACAGGAAAAAGAAAGCCCCCTTCGTAGGGGCGATAGGAAAATCCTTTGCAATGACACACGAGGCACCCTTTGCACATAGTAAGCACTCTACAAATATTAGCTGTTGTTATTAGCTCCCCTTTTCCCGCCACACAGGGCTCTGGACTGGGTGCCCCCCACCCATTCTTTTGGGAAAGGATGCTGACTAAGCCAACCAGGCAAGATTCCCAACAGCCTGTTCTCATCAGCACCAGCTAGTCCTGCCCTGGGACAGAGGGTCCCAGGGGTGGGCAGGACGCTGGCACCCCCTCCCCGGCTGGGATGAAATCCAGATGTGAGGCCCCTGGAACAAACAGGGTGGAGTCCTGACTCCTCAAGTCACATCCGGTGTGGGGAAGGCTGGGTGGGGGGAGTTGGGGTCCTGGTTGGGAGGATGGGGCAACTGCACTGAAGTCATGAGAGCGGTGAGGGGGCGTGCAGCCCCGCAGGGAAGGGGGAAGGTTTTTGTTTCCATGAAAGCCTGAGTCACCCACCCCCCTTCAAGGAAAACTGAGCCGTAGGGGGAGGGAGCGGGAAGGGAAACACGAGGGCAGAGAGGACGAGAGGCAGACACTGTGGCCTTCCCCCAGCTTGGGGGTAGGGTAGGGGGAGTCTCAGAGGAGCCGATGCAGTGTCTGCTTTCATGAGAGGAGCAGGCAGGAAGCTCCGGCCCTTAGCTAAGTGGAGTGAGGGCGGGAAGAGCCTCCCAGGTCCCTGGAAACACGCCTGGTAAAGACCACGTGAGAAGCCAGAAGCACCGTTCCAGAAAAGGCTGGTTAGGCCGGTTCCTAGTGAGCCTAGGAGTGATGGGGGGCTTCCGGGGTCGCCCAGACATCTCAGTGCCCGGCCGCCCCCTTCGAGGGGCATCCTGGCCCTCAGCCAGAGAGAGGCAGCTGCTCCCCCACGGCGGAGGGACATCCGTCCTAGTTTGGGAACAGAGAAGGGCTTGTGCGCATCCCCAGGGGACAGCTGCCCCGCCCAGATCGCCACACAGAGGCCCCTTGTTCCCTTGCAGGACGGGGCCCCGAGCGCCCCGATGCCCTCTGCCCGCTGCAGCCAGCCCCGGGCTGGCCTGGCCCAGGCCACCGCCTTTCCAGGCCGGCCGTCGGGCCGGAAACAGCCCGCGTCCTGATTGGCTCATTTTCAATCCCGGGGCTCTGAGCAATGTGCTTATTGGCCTGAGCTTTCCATCCTCGGCCTGTGACTGGCTCAATTGGGGACGCCCTACTGATTCTCCTCTAGATGGGGTCGTTTACTGGCGACTGCAGCTCAGTGCTTTCGGAGGACAGAGTTACAAACCGTGTGGATGTCCCTGGGGGGAGTTTGAACCGCGGCCTGACCGCCTGGTCACCCCGACCAAACGCCCCCGGGCTGCCCTGGCCTGCTGGGTCCCTCCTGGGGTTCATAACTGAGAATCAAGGTCCCTTTGCAAGCCTGGGAAGCACGTTCACTGGTGGGCAAGAAGCCCAGGGTGCGTCCTGCGGCCACCCCTCCACCGCTCACGTGGAGGCCACCACCCCTCTCCAGTCTGGCAAAGAGAAAGATTTACTGCCACTTCCTGGGGAAATAAGAAATGTGGTCAGCCCTCGCACCCCAGGGACTGACCGAAAAGTCTGTCTTCTTCCCTGGGTGGGGAGACTGAGTGCACTGCATTCCCACTTTCTGAAGCCCTAAGAGGCATCTGCAAGAGGGAAGGACAGCTGTTCTAGTTAGAGAAGGGGAAACTGAGGCCCACACTGCATCTGAGTTTCATCTTCCCCACTAGGACTTTGCTCAGGCAGGAGCTCAGGCGGGTTGTCACTTCCCAGAAAGAGGAAGCAGTGCCCAGAGGTTGGAGCTGGTGAAAGAGTCACCCCAGGCGGACAGAGGCCTTCCCTGCATCCCCTCCCCCGTGGCAGGCTCCCAGGCCTGGCTAAACACAGAGCCTGCCTCCTGCTCACCTTCACCAAGGCAGTCCTGACTCCCTTTCAGAGGCTCAGGAAGAGGCCACTGGGCTCAGCGGGAGACAGAATGTCTGGGCCTGAAATGAACAGGAGGGACAAGGAACAGGGTTTGCAGGGAAGGGAAGAGAGATAGACAGAGACATACTGTTTGGCCAGAGATTAGGAGAGGGGAAGACTAGAGGAAGACTCAGTGGCTTGCAGGCTCCCCTCCACCCCCTCCCAGTTCCAGAGAGGCAGACCCTGTGGTTACAGTTCCCCGTGGTCACCCACAGATCCCATGCCCCTTGCCATAGGGTGGTCCCCCACTTTCTCTTTTGGCTTCCCTCTGGCTGTCATTCTCCACCAAGTAGCCAGGGGGAGCTTTTGAACTTATAACTCCAATATGTCACTCCCAGCTCTAAGTTCTTCCATGGTTCCCTATGGCCCCTGCCCACCTAGCCTCCTCCCACTCTCCCTCAGGACCACTCCATTCCAACCACACTGGGGAACACCTTTCCCCCAGATCCTTCAATGACTGTCACCTCATCTTTCAGGTTTCAATTTAAGTGTCACTTTCTCACAAGAGCCTCCCCTGAACACCAGTCTACAGTAGTTGCCTTCCCTATGACAACACCTTCCTTTATCATCTTCACAGGACTTGCCACTATCGGAAATGACACAGTATTTCTTTTCGGTCTGGCTTCCACAGTAGACTGGGAGTGTCAGAGGCCAGCGAACAAATCCATTCTCCGCTCCTAGAATGGTGCCTGGCACAAAGAAGGCACTCGGAAAAGGTGGGGAATGGGCAGATGGATGAAGAATGAATGAATGAATGAAGGGCTGGCTGGTTAGCTCAGTTAGTTAGAGCACAGCCCTGTAACACCAAGGTCAGGGGTTCAGATCCCATACCAGCCAGCTGCCAAAAACAAAATGAAAGAATGAATGAAAAAATGAGACCCCAGTGGCCTCCCGAGGGTGGAGGCTCCTAAACACAGCCCAGACCCAAACAGAAAAGGAGGCTGGAGACGCCTCTGGTCCGCTGGCAGGCCCCCCGCCAGGCGAAGCCCAGCGTGTCTCCGTGGAGACGACAGCAGGACCCGCCCCCGCGCCGGGCGCACTCTCGGCCTCCTTATCTGGCCCAGGAATGCGCGGTATCCACACTCGCTCGCTTTGGGGCCGGGCCTCCCCTCTCCCGCGACAGCCACACGCGCGGGACCCCCACACCTCCAAGCGGGAGAAGCGGGACTCCGCTCAGTCCCGCCAAGGTCGCAGCTTCCAGATTCCCGGACGACTGGGGGAGGGGGAGATCCCAGCAGCCGCTGCACCGCGACGCGCCACTCGGGGGACGGTGGGCTCAGCGCGTGGCGCCCGGAGCGTCTGACAAGGACAGACACGGGGGAGGGGGTGGAAATCCCCGGTGAGTCAACCCGTGCTGGAGTAGGGGGCAAAGTCCCCACGCTCTGCCGGGCGCGGGCCCATGAGGAGTCCGCGCCACGCGTGCCTTCACCTACGCCCCATCCCCGGACCCGAGGGGAGAGAGGAGGCGTCGGAGCCACGCAGTCACTCTCCCTTTCCTTCCAGAGCAAAGCCACGCCCCCGCGAGGGGTCTCAAGAAGAGGAACAACTCCGGGAAACTGAGGCAGAAAGCCAGACGCGCCGGCGGTGGGCGACTGCCCTCCCCGGGGGGCGGCGCCCCTTGGCTTGGAGGCTCCGCGGCGCCCACGTTTCAGCCAGAGGCAGCCAGGAGGAGTGCTGCCGCTTCCCCAAACACACTCCCCAAATCCCTGGTCCTCAGTCACACCGTCCTGCCTCCAAGGCTCAGCCGAAAGCGCTCGGATTCCGCCTTCTCCACGGCGCCAACTTCCTGCCGCTGGGGAAGGGGGTGAGCCCAGTCTGGGGGTTCGCGGTCGAGTTAGTGGGGGCCGCCAGAGTGGAGGAGGGGGCGCACGGTGACCACCCGCTCTGTGCAGCAGGAACGCGCGCGGCGCGTGCGCGACCCGGCTCGCCCCGGATCCCTGGCTGGGCCCCGCAGCTCCCATCCCGCCACCTCAGGGGACCGGGGTTCTCCCTTTCTGCCTCCCCCTAGCCACGCGCGCTCACCTGGATATAATCTGCTAATGTTTATTTACCAAATACATTACTATGTGTCAGACACTGTTCTAAAGGCTGGAGATATATCAGAGAACGAAACACACCAAACTCCCAGGCCCCGTGGAGCTGATGTTCCGTATGTATGCAGAATATCCACAATATTGCAGAAAGGAGAAACTGGTGGATTTCCTGAGAGAGGATCTGAGGGATGGGGGATGGGATGGAAGAAAGGCTACTTTCACTCCGTGAATCCTTTTGTA